TGGAAGCAGGCCATGGGCTAGGGGAGAGGGCCCAGAGGACACAGCTAGTGCTCTGGAATGTGGGGAGCTGCTCGGAGACACGCTGGTAGCCGCCCCCACCCCAAACATACTCTACTGCAGAACTGTTTGTGTTGCAGGCACATGTTGCAGGTACGATGTTTAGGTGTGATCCCTGGAAAAATCTGTCTCTCTTGACTCTCAGAGAAGCGTGGGGAGGAAGGGCAGCGGGCTGGAACAGCCATGAGCAAGACTGGAAGTCAGGCCTCCAACACTGATCTGCTGTGAGATTCTGGGCAGATCACTCAGCCTCTCTGGTCACAGGCTTTCCCATCAATCAACAGGGAACGCAAACTCTGCTCTGTGAAGAGGAGAATCAGTGATGTGGAGAAAGGGCTTTGGAATCTGCGAAGTGTGGGCGCTGCTGGGATTTGGGAGGCTTTGCTGACTCTATTAGTGTCAATCACCAGGCCTGGCCCATCTCAGCCAGAGGAGGCCGGGCGACTTCTTGCGGCTTCTTAGCACGACAGGCTTCAGCAGACGGCTTAGAGCCAGGCAGCTTCCGTCCGGCCGAAAGCAATCGTTGCTCTGTCCCTTTCCTGCAGAGTGACCTCTCTGAGCCTCAGTCTCTACTTTTCTGTAAAACTGGGGGAGCCATACCTTCCCTGGAGAGTTAGTTGCATTTAGATGAGATGAAGTATGCTGAATACACAGAAAACGTAAGCAGGAGTTTATTTAATTAATCGATTTAACTCATACAGAGAGTTAAATGCCAAGCACTTTTCTAAGCGCTTTACTAATGTCAACATATTTAATGCTCAGCACAACCATCCGTGGGTAGCACTGTTACTGTACGGTTTTATAAATGAGGTGCAGAGAGGTGAGGTCACCTGCCCGAGGAAGTGAAAGAATCTCAATTATAATTTGGGCACACAGACTGGCACCAGAGTCTACGGTCTTTCTTAACTGTTACTGTGACACAGACCCTGATAATTTCACTGATTACTTACTACTTTGTATGGTAGCCACTCATTCATGCAGGCATTCGTGAGCACCTACTCTGTACTGGAGACATAGGTGTGAATCAGGTCCGGTCCTTGGTCCCTATATGCATGGAAGGAAGCCTACCAGCTGGTGTGCTGGGTGTTGAATCCGTCTCCGCACACCCTTTCCCATCCAAGCGCCTAGCTGTGGGGCAGCTCAGGACACGGCTCCTCCACGGCCTCAGACAGCAGATGGCTGCCTGGCCAGCAGCCATAAGGAACGAGGAAAACAGTCTGTATCTGGATGTCCCAGCCCTCTCAAGGCCCCTGTGTCTCAAGGCTCCCGTGTTTATCACAAGCGTGTAGAATTTTCACAAACCTCTACTGCCGCTACCCCCACCCCTCCCCTGTAAGTGGCATCCAGGCCGGAGTCGGGGTGCAGTCTCTCTTGCCCGATCCCCTGCCACTGGGCACGCCCTATAATGTGAGGAATAAATGTCAGGTCCACATTTGCTGACCCTCTGGGCATTTTTGTTTGTTTGTTTGTTTGTTTTCAGATTATCACGAACACAAATACAGCTCCTGGCTTGGAGCCCCTGCATTACACTAGCTTGGTACCTATGACCTAGAGAGCGTCTGAATAGGCTGTTAGCTAAGCAGTGAGTCAATGAATGACTGAATTAAGGAGATGAAAACTGAGAAGCAGACACTGCTCCTCCCTCCAAGAACTCCAACTGGGACCCTCACTGGGCAACAGCATTAATGGGGAGGGCACAGGGGTGCTGCCTCCTCCGGACTCTTGCCCAGAAGGCTGGACTAGGTAGAGGGCTGCCGGCCGAATCTCCAGGCCCTGCTGTTCCTCGGCTCCCTGAGGGGACACGCTTCTGGCCTTGGTGTGAGGCGTGAGCTGGGCAGGAGAAGGTTTTAAATGAGAGTTTAGAGCTAGGATCTGAACAGGGCCTGACCACAGACAGGGCTTAACCTTGGCCCATTTGGACAGTGGGGGAGGGGCCATACTGGGGTGCAGCGTGGGGGTGGGGGGCAGGGCGGCGGGGGGGCGGGGTGTGAGTAAGATAGGTGAACTTTGTTCCTGCTGTTCTAAAGGGAACTCCCAGTGCCCCGTGCTTTCAGCGTGGTGGCCATGTCTTGGAATCTGTGAGCCCAATATATGCCACCTCCCACCGACAGACGTCAGCTGATTGGCGAGGAGGAGTAGTCACCTGTCCCAAGGGTGGTTTTTACAGTCTGGCTGATTACCCAGCCACCACCCTGGAAACATTTGAAAATGCGGAGTGGCATTTATGGTGGGCAGAACATTCTGGAATAATGAACTCTCCAGCCCCAGATGCCTCCAGAGTGCCCTGGGGAGAAACCCTGCCTGGTGCTCGGCCATCAGCACTCTGACCTGGGTGGGGGCGCAGCGCTCAGGGAAAGAGGTGGTGAGACGTGGCAGAGGAGGAACGGGTGGCCAGTGGGGAAGTGACGAGCCCAGGGCAGCTGTGCTGTGCCAAAGTTCCCAGGGATGGAGACTTCGACTAAGGCGCAGAGACCAAGAACAGGGGGAGGAAGTAACAGGGGGAGGAAGAAGGGAGAGAGACTGGCTGAGTCTCAGTGCAAAGGGTCGGAGCCATCATCCCGTCATGTCCAGAGCAGCTCTGGATCTCTGTCTGCTCTTGTGGCCCAATGGCTGATTCTCAAACCCCCAACCCCCACCTAGTGACTTGAAATGACTTGAATAAGCTCTGCTCCTTGCACCCAAAGAAGAGCAAATGAAGGATCTGAGGCCCTGAGCCATCACAACTACTTATTCCCATTTTATAGACAAGAACACTGAGGCTGGGGAGTAAAGTAAACTGCCCATGTGATAGAGCAGGGACTGTCATCTTTATCTGTGTCCCAAGGCTTGCTCCCCTTCCACGCGCTGGAAAGCAGTGTGCAGGGTAGATGGGCGTGGTCTGCAGCGGACCTCAGCAGTCCCGGCCCATCTGTCTGCTCCTGCAGTGTCCCCTGGTCCCTCCTCTGTATGTTCCCATCATGGGTGCCAGGGCGCTGTCACAGCACCTCCGAGTGGTGAGAACTCAGAGAGCTGAGGCAGTGGGATACACGTATGAGAAGAAAGTGCTGAGCCACTGACCCAGGCTGGTTGGGACCCCTAATGGCCAGAAGTTGGTCTCAGCCCTCTAGGAGCCCAGGACAGAATGGACGGGGCTGCCGTGCCCGGGACAGGGCTTTGGGGTCCTGGATCGTGACCCACCCCACCTTCCCAGCCTTGCTTCTCTGCCCTCCCCCCAACTCCAAACAGAGGTGGAATATCGAGGACCTGGTGGCCTCATCCTCAAGCCTCCAGTGACTTTCTAGGATATAGCATGGCTGGGAGAAGCCAGCTTGGGTGGGCAGAAATCCAGAAGGGATTAAGGAAAGAAGGTGCCTGGTTTTGGTCACCAGCCTCTGGGATCCTTTCCTCCTTATCTGCCCTCTGGCAGGTCCCCAGGCCTGAGCTCTAGACCAGGAGAATGTGCAACGCGACTCCTGAGCTCTGCCACAGGTACGGGGTGCAGTGGGTGAGGGGTGGAGGTGGGGCGCCAAGCAGTGGGGTGCTGGTAAATGCTAAATAACCAGCTCTCAGGGGAATAAAGACCTGAATTTGTAGTTTTTGCCAACCTCCGCAGTGTGAATACTCCCACGGCGGCCAATTTCAAGCCAACTGTGGGATACCACCAAACGTGGAGCTGGGAAGCGATGGCCACAATGGGCTCCCTCAGTCCGCCAGAGCGAGCCAGCTCCTGCACTCCGCTGAAGAGCTCGCCTGCCTCCTGGCCTTTGCTTATGCCGTTCCCTCTGTGTGGCACATCCTCCCTCTTTTTACTCGGTGAACTTCTACTGATCCTTTAAGGCCCAGTCCAAGCACCTGCTTTCCGATAAAGCCTGCCTCAAATTTTCCATCCTCCACGAGGCCCTCGGCATCTGGCCTCTCCTTCCACTGTGCTCCACGGCCAACTGTCCAGGCCTGCAGTGGCACATGCCTGCTGTATTAGCTGGACACAGAGATGCAGACCAGACAGGATGGGAGTTCCTCGAGGGCAGGGCCTCAGTGCTGGTCATCTTGTGATGCTCCGCTGAGCACGGGGCTCAGGAAGGAAAGTCACCGGGGTGCTGGGTGAACGAAGGAACACAGCCGGAAGCCGGCAGGGCTGCAGCAGCGGGGCTGATGCAGATTGCGGGAGCTTATTTTGGCAACAGGGTGGTTGGCAGTGCTGTCACTTGGGGTGGGAAGAGTCCACCCCAAGCCCCAGTGAGGTCAGAAGGCACCTGGATCCAAGGCAGGGAGTCTGGGTGTTGGTGCTCCTTTGGCACAGGGACCTCTTTATTCTGCTGATCTCAGACCACCACTAATTATCCTAATGGGTTTAAATGGCCCTAAATGTTCTCAGAGTTTGGACAGGACCCATCTGGAGCTTGCAGGTGGGCTGGCCTGGCCGACAGTGAGTGGGCAGACTCTGACACGGATGCTATAGGAATCCAAACGGGCTGTTCCTGTTGTTGCGAGAGGCCTGAGACATGCGTGGGCTAGGAGCCAAGGGTCAGCGTAATGAGAGCTAATACTTCCGCAGCTCTTACATGAACCAGGGACTGCCTTCAGCACTTACTTTGTTCACTGTTGGGTCCTCACGACCATCTGAGGAAGCAGAGCCCTTGCTATGCCCATTTTACAGAGGAAGAAACTGGAGCAGGGAGGTTAAATGACTTCCCCAAGGTCTCAAAGCCAATAAGCAGAGGGGCTTCTGTTCACACTGGCAGGCTCCAGAGTCCCTGCCCTTAGTCACACATAATGTCACTTCTCCAAGTGGGCAGGCCACCAAGACATCTTTGTGCTCTTACTTGGGGCCACACCTTAGGAAGGCAGGTCCAACCTGGATCTCCTCTAGCTGCAGTGCCTGTCCCCACCAGGCTGACCGTGTTTCGAGGGAACCCCACCTGGAGCCCCACCCCCAGCCCCACCAGAACATGGAGGTACGTTACCAGAGTGGTGAATATGAAGTGGTAGTACTCGGTCATCATGCCCATGGCCATGGCCTACAAGAGAACAGAGCATCAGCAACCTCCAGGGACTCCCAAGCAGCCCCCAACCCCCACCCAGCCACCCTGGGGTGAGGACTGGGTGGTGGGACAAACTGACAGGGGGTTGGGGGAGGCTGGCCACTTGGAGTGGGACATTCTCTGAGACCCCCTCCAAACGGTGACCGTGACTGGCTGGCAGGCAGCAGTGGATTTCACACGGGAGTGAGCAGTACAGTCACTTGGGACAGATTAAAATGCAGACTCTTGGGCTATACTCTCCAAAGATTCTGAATTCCACGGCGCTGGGCGGGGCCTGCTTGTCTGTCATTTTAGTGAGCACCTCTGGGCCTGCCGCACAATCCAAGATACCTTCTCGGGGGCCCTGACCCGACTCACTGAGCTCAGTGTCCCAGGTCTGAAGAAAGGCGTTCAGGTGCCCTGTCCCTACCTGCCCTGCCAGGCCCAGGAGGAGGGTCTGTCCTCCGCCCCAGCCTCCCAGCAAGGGCTGACCACAAAGCAGGTGGAATTACTGCATACCACCATGAAATCCACACCATATACATTTTATTTTGTTGGAAGTCTAGAATCTGTAGTACCAATGACTGTATGCATTTTCTACAGAGTGCTTCAGAAGGCTGGGCTGACAAAGTGCTCTGAAGGAAAAATGTCACTGGGTCAAGTGCACTTAGAAAATGCCACACAGTCACTCCCCCTCTTGGAGACTGACAACCTGCATCCACAGGTTAAAGGCTCAGAGAAGTCCTCGGGTGGAGGTGCACTTATCTTTGTTTTAGTTCAGTGTTTAGCTGAGCCCAGAATTTTCATTTTAAATTATGTTTCCAGGTCAGACAGACTTGGGAGGAAATTCTGACAGGCAGGCTGGATGACCGAGGGCCCATTACTTTCCCCTTGAGCCTCAGTTTCCTCATCTGTCAATGGGGCATGGAAACTGACCCCCTTCCCAGGGGGCAGTAAACAAGGAGCTATGTGTACCTTGCTCAGAGTGATTCATTAATAAACCAAAGTTGCAATTATTATTATTATTGTTACACAGGCTGGGAAGAGAAGGGATGCCCTGGGCACAGCTGACCAGGACAGTGGGGGTTAAGGGATTTCTGAGGGCGGTATCTCCTGGACGAGGACTTTAAAGTTGCCCCACACCCAGCGCTGGCCATGAGTCAGCTCCGGGATAAACCTGGTCCTTGCCTCACCTCCTTGAACCCTCCCAAACTGGGCGAGGTAGGGGCCACTCACTCCATCCATAGGGGAGGGGATGACTCCGGGGCCACTTGCTCTTGGCAAAAGGATTCGAATTCTCCAGTGAGCTTTCTGATCACCATATGAAGGAGGTTGGTGTGGGGCTTCCTTGGGGGAAGACAGAGGCTGCCATTCTCTCGGGCACCCCTGTGGGCCCAGCTGAAGGATGGGACTTGAGCGGCACCCCCTCCCAGGCCTTGACTCACTCCCAGCCCTTGCTCAGCACCCCTTCCTCTGTAATCCGTGTCCCCTCCCTGCTACCTGCCTTTCAGGGTGTCATGTATCAGGACCCCCCAGAATACTTCCTCCAGTCACCAGGGATGCTTTCTGGGACCACTTCCTTGCCTTTTTGGTTCCCACCAGCATGGTTTGGTTTCTCTGTGGCACCCTTGGAGGAGGTTGTAGGCAATTTGTCTTTTTCTTTCTTAGGGGGCTTTCTTTTAACCTCACCCGGCAGAGCTTGTTCCCAGCATGCCACACTGGGCTGTGTCCAGGACCAGGGGCCCCACCAGGACTGGGTGTCATTCCCTTCCCTCACTGTCACTGCAGAGCCGAGCAGATGGTGCGAGGAACCTCTATAAACCTCCTAGTTATGGGAGAGTAACACCAAGTGCCGCGGGCTGTGGGGATTAGTCTCTGGAAGAGGCAGTGAGGTGTTCTGGGGGCTACTCCCGAGACCCCCAGGCCTCTCTGTGCCTCCTGAAGTGCCCTGTCCCATGCAGCTTCAGGCCCCTCTGTGCAGCCCCTGCCACGCCCCTGGACAGAGATGGCACAGAAAGAAGCATTTACTCAGCACCCTTCATGGGCCAAGCCTGGCTGTGGCCGCCCCTCCTTCACCTTATTCCATCCTCACACCAACTCGGGCTGTGCAAGGACCACTGTGTCAGTTTTGCTGCTGGTGAGATGGAGTGACTGCCCAAGGTCATACAGCCAGCAAGAGGCCGCCTGGGGGCAAACAGATCTGGCCGACCTCACACTTGTACTTGGGGAAGGGGAGGTGGGGAAGGGGGCGGGCTAGTCCCAAGCACCAGTCCCGCTAGCCAGTGGTCACACACCTGCTTAAGGATCTGGGCAGCCATGGTGTGGCTGCAGTCGAAGATAATGCGGAATTCCCGGCCTCGCTTCATCTCCTTGAGCAGGGGGCGCGAGTCGTCAGAGTCCAGGGGCAGCTGGCGAATCTTCAGGCGGATGTTGTATCTTGATGGGGCCATGATGAGCTCCTGCAGTCGGATGAGCCCTGAGAGGCCCCGGGGCACAAAAGACATGTGTGCACACATGTATGCACAGTAATAAGCATGGCAGACTCATGTTCATGTACATGCCTGTGGCCATAGGTCTGCTGACATGGAATTGTGGCCCACAGAGATATGTGTGTGGGCACAGCCACACATGTCCAGACACAGGCATGTGTACTCAGCTGTACATGCCTGCACACACACAGATGTTTGTGCACACACAAACATATATTTGCATGCATGTTGAGAGAGGAAGAGCATGTGTTTGGGCAGATAAATATGTGTGTACATATGTAGATAGGTGTGTGTGCACACAGGTGCATATACACACATATCGATTTGAAAGTGGGCGTAGACAGAGAGCCAATTCTCATGGACCACACCCGCCTGCTCCTCTCCAATCCAGGACGGGTGCAGAGACTTATGGAGCCTGACCAGATGCCACCCCTCTTCACCCCCTGCCCCCCGTCACATTGTGAGGCACGGGACATAATCTTCCTGAACACCCTTAGCAACCTGCTTCCAGGATGTGGGCACAAGTGGCAGCTCCACACTCTACTGCACCAAAGGTGAGACTGGGGGGAGCAGGTGGTGTCTGTGCCCAGTCCCCATCGCCACCCCACCCCACCCCCAAGGGCAGACTCCGCAGTAGATCTAACCCATTCTTCCAGCTCAATGCAACCACCTGCTCCATGAAGCCTGCCCCTACTGTTCTGTCCAAACGAGATTTCCCCTTCTCCTAACTTGGTGGCCTACTGGCTTATCGCTAGCCTCCTCTGGCCTCATCTCACTCCCCTGGTCCTGCCCCAAACTCCTCAACAGGAGGGGCTGCATCCCCATAGCCCCCAGGACAGGGCTTGGGACTTAAGTGGTACTCACCACAAATTTCCATAATTGGATTGACTTACTGGTTTTTTTCTCCCCACTCTGAAAAATCCATCCTCTACTTTAGCATTTTGCAAAACCGCTTAATCTGGGGACTTCCAGGGAAAAACTAAATGTCATTTCCTAGAGACAAATGGCTTGCAGAGGTCTAATTAAGTTCATTTCCGTCCCTATTTCAAGGTTCATTCTTGCTGATGCCTCTCTGCTTAGCCTGGAAGCAAGCCTGCTGGCTGCTCTCTCTACCCCCAACCCCACTGCAGGGAGAGGCTAAGCCAGCCCAAAGCCAGAGGCCCAAACTGGTCCTTCCCCACCACCGCCACCTCCACCACCTGCTGGACCCCTTGTTCACCCTCAGGGCTCAGTGTCCGAGTGCTGGCTGCACCAAGCACTCACTATGCCCCGCTCCGCCAACAACACCACTCTGATACTCCTTTGGGAAACAACCTTCCTCCTCTCTGAGTCCCTAGGACCAGGAAGAATCCATCTCCAGCTCCCAAGGCACAGCATGTGACCCCACCATGGCCAATCAGGCCTAAGTATGGGTTCAGAGATGGATATGTGACACCACTAGCTGTTCTTCTCAGAGTGGCTTCCAGAATGTGCTAGAGTAAATGGCAATATGTATTCCCTTTTCCGCTGAACTCAAAATAAGGAGGAGGTAAACCTGGGAGTCACCACATACAACCCAAGAGAGATTCCAATAGGGCAGAAATCAGAGAGCCCAAACAGAGAGAAAATAAGTCCTAATGGTACCCATTTGAGCCCCTGGATCAAACAGTACCTGAAGCTAATTTACTCTTAAATTTTCCAGTGAAGGCAGCCAACAAAATCTGCCCCCTCCTTTTTTTTTTTCCTTCCTTAAACTAGTTTGTGCTGGATTAAGTTTGCAATCAACTATTCCAGTGTCTCCTGTCTGGACAGAGTCCCCTACCCTCTCAGCCCCCACCCCCCACCCCCCCAACAGACAGCCCACTTCAGAAGCCTTCCAACAGACAGCCCCCATTCCCAAAGCTATTTCAGGTATACATGCTTGGGTCTGTTCAGGCTCTCATTCCCATTCTTGAGGGCTTGATGTCAGGAAAGTAATCAGGCCGGGGTCCTTCATTTCACTGTGCTGGGGAGGACAGACTATAACCCTGGGATCTAAGACTCTCAGAGAGCTCCCAAATGAGCTTTGCCATGGCTATGGGCATCAGGAAGCCCACCCCCAGAAGGTCTCAGATCCAGGTGGCTGGGTTGGGAGAGGGCTCTGGAGTCCTGAGCGGCTAGATGGACAGGGGCCCAGTGCCTCCTGACACCAGACTTGATAGGCAAGAGGACAAGGATCCCTGTGGGCCTTAGCAGAAGAGGGAGTGGTCATAAGCACCCCCCAAACACACATCCAGCCTTACCCCTCCAAAACTAATCTCAGAAAGTCTTAGTTTGGCTGACTGATGCTGCCCACTCACACCTGTTACCCCACAAAGCCCTGAGTGTACACGTTGCTCCCACTTGCTCCGTTTCCAGACCCATGCACAGCATCAGTAGGCACATGGGCTTTGGGGACCCAGGACATGAGGATAGGGATAGCCTGGATGCGGGAGCAGAGGCCACCAGAGTCTTCCTGTCAACCAAGTGCACTGCCCTGTGTAATGTATGGTGACCCACATTCTCCAGCAGCAAATGTCAGACCTCCTTCCCTCGAGTGTGCTCCCCAGGGAGATTGGAGGCTTGTCTCGGCCAGCCCCAGCAGAAGACTAGGTTCTTTTGTTTGCCTGAGATGAGCTTTCCTTCCTGGCTGCTTCCCTAATCAATCTCTCTCAAAATATCTGCAGTGAATCATGTTGGAATCAACGCTTTTCACTTACAAAGCACTTCTGCATTCATTACACAACTTCACCATCTCCTTGTCCTAGAAAGCATGCAGATGAGGGACTTTTGTTCCAATGTTACAGAGGAAGGGAGCAGAGGCCCAGAGAGGTTTAGTGACCCTCTCAAGGTTTTGCAGCATGCTAGCAATGGGGTCAAAATCAGAGATCCTATCTTGCGGTTCCTAGACCAAGTCATCAGGACATAAACCCATCATAAATCAAGCAGCATCTGTACTGCAAAAAGATAACTGGTATATCCTCTTCTAACATGCTAAGAGAATCATGATTTTGTCTGGGTGGCAATGTGCCAGTCCCACGGGATGACTTGAGATTGGGAGGAGCCAGTCAGGGGCAATCCCATTCCCATTGGACTGTGCTTCTGGGTAGCAGGCATGCTCGGTGAGCTGTACTGAGTGGTCTGCTGGAAGGTTCTGAGACTGGTCTTCCTTCCATAAGAGGCATGCATCACATTAAGAAAAGGCCCTTTGGCTCCCCCCATACTTGAATCCTCTCTCCCAGCCAGGCTGTCCTCTGATACGACTGCTGTGCACAGGCAGCCCTCCTCCTTCTTGCTCACGCTACTCCCCCTCGGTTATGCCCTCCCGGCTCCTCTCCCTGTCCATCCTTCTTCAAGCCCCAGCTCATTCACGTCTCCGTCCTCTGGTAAGTCAGTCCAAACTAGCCGAGGCCATAGAACTTCCTCTCCCGAAGTATCTTGAGCCCTGACTTCATGTACCTGTCACTCAACACTTAGCTCTGGTGGCCTGGAATGACCAGCGACCTCTGGGTGGACACCTGCTGCCCTACGACATGATTAACTTTTCAAAATAAGATGGTATAACTACATCTCATTTCTTCTCTCTTACCAGTGCCCAACACACTCTTTCCTAATGAAATTTAATTGTCATGTATTTCAACTTGATTTTCAATTTGATTCAATTCACTTCAGTTCAACAAACCTTTATAAACATCGGCATCGTACCAGGCCCTGTGCTCAACCCTGCAGGTACAGAAAGCTCATGGCCCAGAAGACAATTGTTCATGGTGGTATGTCATGACCAATACATCTGCAGGGCTGCAGAAACACTGGAGGTGATCTGGAGCTGGGCAGGTGTGCCCTCAATGGCAGAGACCTTGTGCAGGGGGCACTGAGAGGGATGGGGGTCCCTGCCCTCCAGGATCTTCTGTCTGGTGTTTTGGGTACAGCAGGATGTCAATAGAGGCTGGTAGAATCCCGAGCTAGATCAACAACTCGGGAATGTCTTTTCTGAGGGTTTCTCCCTGCGATTCCCACTTTGCATTAGGAGGTAATTGAGCTGACATTGAATCACAGGCAGCTGAGAGTTGGAGGGTTCTTTCCAGGCTGGACACTCTTGACTTGATGCATGGGCAGAGAGGACCAGATGGGTTAAGTGACTTACCAAGGTCACTTTCTTTTAAGAGGCAGGGCTAAGAAACGTTTTGGGACTCCAGTCATTGGAAGGAAATTAGAGAGGAAACAGCCCCATCCTGCCCAGCTAGTAAGCGTCAGAGCTGGCATACATGTACTGTGGGTTTGAGTCAAAGGTTGTGCTCAGAGCCAGCAGGGCTGGACATGTTTGCTGCAGAGCATGGAAATGTGGGAATATAAGAGCAGGCAGGTGTGGGCATGGCTGTGCAGGTGTGGGTGTGGGTGCAGGTGCTGGGAGCAGGGCGAGTGTGCTGAGTATGAATTTGAGCATATTGCTGGGGTGGAAGTGGGTGGGTAGGGAAGGTGTAGTGCAGGTGTGAGGCAGGTGTGAGATAGACTGGGGCTGAGTGGGGTGCGAGTGTGGCTGGTGTGCACAGAGCTGTGAGTGCAGGGACAAGTGTCCATGTGACTGAGTGACGCTTGAGTGTGAGAGAGAACCTTTTTTTCAGGGGCAGTGGAGTTGGGTGAACAGCCAAGAGCACGATCCTGGGTTTGTGCCCCCCTTGTACTGTACCCATGGCCTGGTCAGGCCTGGCCACCCACCTGTACTGTCATCATAGACCACGGTGGCCGACCGCCACTTGAGGTACTGAACCAGGTCAAGGATGGCGTGGCTGAGAGAGGCATAGTCAGGGTAGAGGTTCACGTAGAAGGTGTCCTTGTTGTCCAGCGGGTGGTGCTTCCAGCGCAGCTGGATGTGGGGAACCTCCAGGGCATTGCAGATGGACTGGACGGCGTTGGTGCAGGAGCCCTGGGATGGTCCGAAGATTGCCACCACGCCCAGTGCCAGCTGGTCACAGGCTGCAGCAGAGGGAGGGAAGGAAGGTACAGGGATCAGTGCTGGGTTTTACTGGGGGGTTGGGCACATTGGGAGCAATGACTTTGGTGATCCCATAAACACATGGAACCCTCTGAGGGTAGCTGACTGGCAATCTCTCTGAATTTCTGTTTCGTCATCTGGAAACCAGGGTCCTAATAAATGAGGTTGCCTCAGGGAATCATAGGAAGTTGAACAAGATAATACATATACAACCCTCAGCACAGTGCTCATGAAATAGATGTGATGGTTGCTTTTGATGCTGTCATTGTTTTGATTAGTGTCACCAGATCTGTACCATGCCCTGATCTGTGTAGGATTTTGAGAGACAAATAGAAATGAAATACTTACTTGCTGATGAATTTTAAACTTAAACCTCCAGCCCGAATCTGTTTCCTAAAATCCAGCTGGTACATCTCATCTGTCACTGAACACTGCCACTTGGATGTTCAAGATGCATTCCAGACCTAACAAGTCCGAAACATAACCCCGTCTTCTCTTCCCAGACTCTCCCATCTCAGTCGATGGCAGCTCCACTGTCCTGTCCAACTCTTTATGCCAAAAACCCTGGTTCTGTTTGGATTCCTCTTGTTCTCTCATATCCTACATCTCAATCCAACATCAACTCCCATTGCTTCACCTTTGAAATATATCAAGATCCTTCTCGCCACTCCCACCCTGGTCAAGGCTGCCATCGTCTTTCACTTGGATTCCTGCAGAGGCTTTCAGCCTCCTCAGTAACCCTCCATGCCACCTGTCCTGTGCTCAGCAGCTGGAGAGCGCCTGGCACAACTTAAATGGGTTACATCACTCCTTTGTTCCAAGGGCTTCCATTCCAGTCAGTAAAAAAACCAAAGTCCTTAACAGTGACCAGCAAGGCCCTACTTGTAGCTCCTCCTCACTCCTGTCCCCAACATCACCACCCTCACCACTTTCCTAACTTCCTCTCCCATCCTTTTCTCCTTTTCTCGCAGGACTCAAGCTCCACTGGCTCCCATGATGTTTCTCACACACACTAAGCACGCTCCTGTCTCAGGACCTTTGTACTTACTGTCCCTTACTGTCCTTCCCTCGGATCCACATGACTCCCTCCCTCCCTTCTTGCAGGTACCCGTGTCTGTGCATCCTAATAGAGAGGCATCACTGCCCAACCTATAATAGCAATCCCTATCCAGCCACACTTCTTCAACCCCATACTCTGCTTTGTTTCTTTATTAAATGACCACCAGAAGACTTGTTCATTTTTTGACTTCTCCTCCCACTTGAACATAAGCTCCAAGGAGGCAAGGACTTGCTCTATGTTGTTTACTGCTGTATCCACAGGGCTTGAAACAGTACCCGGTCTGAGTAAGTGCTTCATCAACATCTGGTGAGTGCACAAATGCTGATTTTTTTTTACTTCAAACACTTCACATTCTTGGGGGAGGCCCAAGAGCTCAGGCAGATCAGACAGCAGATGCTTCTGGGAAAGTCAAGCATCAATGGGCACAGCATAGCATGAAATGAGCAAACCCAGGGCAGCTGGGGCTCATACAAGGATTGTGCCTGAAAGATCCATAAAATGAATCTCTCAGGGCCATTAGGGGGAGGGCAACCCAGGAGCAACTGCCCTTTCTTCTGGAAACTGTCTCTACTTTTCCTTTGGGTTCCACTGATTTTTCCACTCCCAGCCCATGAGGGGTGGGAAAGTGACTAAGACCCTAGGCTACAGCTATTGGTTTAGAGGATGGTCATGTGACCAGTAAGAGCCAATGGAATACCATGAGACCACCAGCCCTGAGAAGAGGGCACATTCCCTCTGTAACTGGATCTGGAAGGAGGTAAGATCTGGAGGTACAGTAGCCACCTTGTGCACACAAAAAAAGTGTGGTGTTTGTCTTTGAATGGAGTCAGTCTGGAGGTGAGCAGAGCCAAGAGAGAGAAAGAAATATGAGCCCCTGATCAGGTAGAACCCTGGATTTTGGTTACAAGAACCAGTACCTTCTCTTTTGGCTTAAGCTAGTTAGGATTTGTTTTTCTGTCACTTGCAACCGGAAGAGCCATAGCTGAAGGGCATCAGCAAACTCACTAGCATGTGGCCACAAGAATGAACTACATGCACATGTATGAACATAGGATGTATGTAGAGGGAAACAAGACAGTGCACCTAAGCATAGATACCTAGTGGATTCAGATGCATCCTGGCCACCTCAAGGGACTCTGGAAATGACTTACTGGCATTAGGTCCACCCCTAAGATTTGCAGGGCCCAGGGCCAGAATACAAATGGAGGTCCATTACTGTATGGCTAAATAGTTAAATGTTATAAGCTAACAAACTGTTATATAAAACATGCCCTGCCCCACTACCCCGCCACCCCCATCTTGACAATATGCCTTCACAACAACTTGGAAAGTCAGGATATAACAACCTGGAAAGTGATGATGGAGGCTTCTCACACATAGTGATGTGGGGAGTGGTGGCGCCAACCCCTACCCTGTTCCCTTTGCTTTGACCACTGGCTCCACCTTATACCATAAGGGGCCTCTCCTCTCTATCTGGACATCCCTGCCCTTACATTTGAGCTTCGTCCATACCTATGCCAACACCTGCCCCTTGGTCTCACTTAGACAGGGCCAGCGAGTGGGACCATGGCAGCATGGATCTCTCCCTGTAGCATGGCCCAGGGAAGAGGTTCATGCAGCACCACTGGGCAGGAAAATTCAGGGTTCTAGATACTTGGAGCAAAGACTGGGCAGCACACAGGGTCCTAGTGGGCAAGTCCCCTCGGCCCCACTGACCCCTTGTTCTGGGAGGTGATGTCGACTAGAAGGAGGTGAGCATCTTCCAAAGCACAGGCTCTGGGAAAGGGGCCCTCTTGCCTGGGTTAAGAATGGTACCAGTGGATCCAAGGATACAAGGTGGTTTTGAGTCGGTCACAATGTATGGTTTTTGAGTATTTTCCCTCTCTACTGATGTATATTCCCTTGCCCCTCACTGCTTTCTGGGAACACGAGCTATTATAGAAAGTGTTTATTTTTCCTGGAATTTGTATTTACCCCGAGAAGACCAGAGAATGCCATTCATGGTGTAGGTGAAAGATACCGTGCTCTGCAGGAGTAGGGGAGGGGCTGGTTATTGTTAGGAGTCTGCTGGAACCACCTGGAACATGGGACAGGGTGGCCTTGTATGGGAGGCAGCAGGGCCAGTACAGAGAGCATCTCCTGGGTCAGCAGGATTCCTGTGGCCAATGTCAAGTGCAGAAGAGGATGCACAAGGGAACATGGTGCCTTCCGGATGCTCCTACAATTGTGGGACTGGAGGCCAAGTCAGGGAAGCACTGCTTTGTCCCTGTTATCATCACCCTAGAGCCAATAAACCTGGGCAGCACTCTGAGAGACTGTGTGTGAGACAAAGTGATGATAAACACTGCAAAAATAGGAACTCTGGGTGTGTTGGTAAGTGTCCAATTTAGGGACAGTTCTTCCTTTCAGTGCCTTTGTCCCCAGGAAGCCAGTCCCTGACTTGTACACTCACTGCCCATTCATGCTGCTCTTCTGTTGGCTGGGTGTGTGGGTGTCTGCTCTCACCACTTTGTCCCCTTAAGAGCAGGTGCTGCCCGGGGAAAGAGACCACATGTGAGTCACTTTGTAGCCATGGAGGCTGTATACTAACATGAAGGAGATGGTGACATTGAGTACGTGACAACTGTCCAGGCCTGGTCACTTCTTCTTGCCCAAGCCAGAAGCCATGGGAACCTGATAAAATCTGCATGTTTCTCTAATAATCTACCTTCTGCCTTTGTTTTGAACCTTCTTGCTGTCCTCTGATATCCCTAGTTTCCATCCCATCACCTCCTGTCTCAACTCTTTCTCTTTTCCTTCTAGGACCTTCCAATTGATGACTTAGCCAAATGACTTGTGTGTCTCATTTCCTCTCACTACCAGCTCCAAGGATCTGTATCTTGGATTTTCCCCTCTGATCTAAGTCTTGAAGCAGGTAGGTAAGAGCTGCCCTGCCACCCATCCCTCACCCTTACCCAGCTCAGCCTTTTAGATCATGGCCACCTTCAGGCCCAAGGTCTAGGCCTCCCTGTTTGACTGAGACAGGGGAGAGTGGACCAACCACAAATTATGATGATGTGGAGGACTGTCAGAGTGATCTTGAAGGGAGTAATTTAGAGTTTGACATTGGTCGTAGTGCTAATGGTGAAGGAAATTATAATGATCATTGGAACAGTGAAGACTATATTGTAGGGCTGTTGATGATCCTGGTGATGCCATTAATGATGGTGGAATTGATGAAAATGTTGATATTGTGAAATAGTGGTAGGATGATGATGACGGGATTGATGATGATAAATATATCAATGCCATGATGGTGACTGTGGTGATAATGGTAGAAATAATGATGATGATATAAAAATTAATGAAGGAGGAGATGATAATAATTTGGATGGAGTTGATAAGATTGGGATGATGAAGATTCAGTGCTATGATTATAAGAATGTTTATGATGGTAGAGATGATGGTGACCATGTGAGTGTGATGGGACTGGGGATGATGATGTTGCTGTTATGGCAATGGTAGTGATGATGATAGTAGGGGTGGTGATGGTGGTGTGGATGGTGTTGATATGATAACAATGACCACACTGGGTTTCATTCTGCCGGAAATGTAGTGATTAGATCTCACTGTTGGGTGTTAGCAGGCATCAGTCCTGCCTTTTACCTATTCCTTCTCCTTGGCCTCTCTTCACATCCCTATTTTTGTCCCTTCCATGTTCCTTCTACCCTCTAATAATTTTCTGGTCTGGAAGAACACTGTTTTCTCAAAGGGACCAGGGCAGGGGGTATAGCAGCAGCAGCAGCAGCAGCAGCAGCAGCAGCTTTATCTCCAGATGTTTCCAGGGCAGCAGCCAACCCTTGTTCTGGCAGCCCTGAGCACACACTGCAGTAATTACATTATTTGTGGCTTCAATTTTAAATCCATTTTCTGGTCATTTTA